CTCCCCACCATCACAGACATCTACACCTCCAGATGCAGGAAGAGGGCCACCTGCATCATGAAGGACCCCACCCACCCAGCACACACACTTTTTGCCCCACTCCCCTCAGGAAGGAGGTTAAGGAGCATTAAGTGTAGAACCACTAGACTGAGGAACAGCTTCTACCCTGAGGCTGTTAGACTCATGAATCTCTAACCAGAATAATCACTGTGAAAAACCATATCATGTTGCTGCTGATCTGTTTCATGTTGCTGCTGATCTGTTTCAATGTTGATGTGTTCATGCGTGCACATCTGCTCACAGACTCATGTTCATGTTTGTGGTGATGTTCAATGTTTTATGTTATGAGTGCTTAGTGTATATTTAGTTGATGTTTTTCTTAGTTCATATCTTAGATGTTATTACTGTTTTTCTTATACATTTTATTGTTGGATGTAACTGGGACCCTGTGTACATAATTTCGCTCCACCACATGTGCCACATGAGGTGCGAATGACAATAAAGAAACTCTGACTCTGACTCTGACTCTGAAGGTTACTACAGTACAAGAAGTGTGAAAGAGGGTAAACATGTCAGAAGATGGAGAGGTAATGATAATGAAGAATGACAATAGATTCCTAAAAGAAAAAGAGGAGCGAGAAACTGCTGAGATCACAAGTAAATGAATTAGACTTTGTTATGAAGGTTGGCTGCTTTTATCTCTGTCGGTGTGTGTGTGCGCACATGTGTGCGTGTGTGTGTGTGTGTGTGTGTGTGTGTGTGTGTGCATGTGTGAATCCTTGTTACTTGATTTCCTCCTACAAAGAAGAGTGTGCATGCCCTTCATGAAAACACAAAGACTTACTTTAGGATATGCTCTGATAAAGGCAGCCTTCTCATCAGGATATTTCTCCAGACGACGAGGTCCTTTACTGGATGACTTCTTGAACACAAGCCAGCAGCGTCGATAAATCTGTTTTCACATGCAAACAAACACACAAGCCAACAATCAACAGTGTGCACCAAATAATTTGCTTTAGTGCACAGTGAGTTCATAAAAAATGCATTAGGATATCATGTTCAGTTATGATAAAAACGTTCCACACTTAAATAGTATCTTTATAACCTTGTTTAGTTTCTCGAGGTGCTTCTTAAATACACACTCCAACACTTTTTGTGTGTTTTGCATTCCTAATTTGCTGTACTTTTTCTGAATTGTTTACACCAAACAAACTTATAACTGAGAGATGGGGAGTCGCCCTCAAAATGTGGTGGAGTTATTTGAGTAGTCCTGTCATACCTGTGCTATGTAGTTCAGACAACAACTCCTGATAGCAAACTGGTTTCAGAGGTGTCAAACTAAGAGCACGTCAAAGGTCTTGATGGAAAAAGACCACAAAAACAGATCACTTCACTAGAATGAGAAGCCAGGATACTCATCTGGAACCAGGACTAGGGAGGAGCTAGCTAGCAAGCATCTGGTGGTCTGGGCTCAGTCTGAAAAAGCCACAGAATGCCATCTCCATGTAGATGAACAGATGCTCAGATATATTCATCAATTAACGCGGATTCCTCATTTTTCTGAACTGAATAAAACGTGCATTGAATTTAATGAAATGCAAACGTGAGACGTCATTTATGTTTGACCCATCAAAATGAATGCGGTCATTTATTTACAGAATCAAAGTTTAACATCAAACATTTACATTAATTTGGCAAATTATGAAAATAACAACTTAAGCAATCAATCAGGAAAAATCATACGGCCATGATTTTTCCGTTGCTTCACCACAGACATTTCTAAATATCTGGAAGTATATCTACTTGATAGAAAGTTTAAAGATGGGAAAGAAGTTTAGAGGGAGTAAAGATGGTATGGGAGGGGAAGTGTTCACCAGAATTGACACTCTCCGTCAGAACCCAGCTCTCCCCGGTACGCTTGGTAGGAAACTTGACTCGTTACCTTTCTGAAGTTAATCAGCAGATATGGAGCTCCGTTAACGCTACCTGTCCAGCGTCTCCTTAGGATGTTGTGAATCGTCAGAAGTAGTGGCGAGTGAAAATGTTATAATCCCATGGAACTCGGAAGAGCTCTGTTGTCATGTCAGGATCATCCCGTCTCTCACAGAACTGGGCTTCTCTCACAGAACTGGTTGAACTGTGTATCCAGCAGAACTCCAACAGCACTCCATCAGAACTGAACAGAACTGTCCCAGAACTGTTCCAGCACCATCCCAGAACTTCTAACAGAACTCAGTAGAAAACTGAGTAGACCAGGAAGTACCGACAATTTAAAGAGCTCTTTCCCGGTTCACTTTTGGGAGTATTCCCATTGGTCAGAAACAACCAGACGGGGTGTGGTTTGTGACGTAAGAGGTTAGAAGACAGCAAGAATTGTTATGAAACAGATCAGAAATGTTCTCACAGACAGAGAGAGTCTTGTTTTGGCGAGTTTAGAAACAGGTGCCAAAAACCTCTATATTTACGTCTGAGAGGATTCTAAAAACATGACAGTTCGTTCCAACAACTTGTTTTGCGTTTGACTCCAACCTTGGACCAACTTACACTTGCTCATTCAAAAGCAGAAATCAGAAAAGGCATAATTACTCTGTAACAGCTTTGACATGAGTTCTAACTTTGCATGAGAATAAAAATCATTACACAGTTAATAAAATTGATTAGTTCACTGCAACATCTAAAATGGTTTGAACTAAGACATTTTGATTATCAACATTTGTAAAATAGTAATGATAATAAAAAAGAGAGTGTTCTTTCACATGAATCTTCAAGAGAGAAAGTCTCAGGATGGGTGAACCGGCATTTCTGGATTCAAATCAATGAAATGACAGTTCCTGTCCCACAAGGTTCTTAAGGTCAAGATTTTTGACCTTAGACTTAGTTTTTGACATGGGCCTAGTCCACTACATCCACATGGGCCCAAGGTCTAGACTCTAAAAAATCTGCAGGTCCAGATGAACTTCCACCTCATTTCAATAGGCTGGCCGCTCATATCATTGCAATACCGGTGTTCACATCTTTAACCTGTCCATAAGCCAAAACTCCATTACAGATGTTTGGAAAACATTCTTTGTTCCACCTTTGCTGAAGGGAGGTGACCCCACCTCACTGAACAATTATCGACCAATCTCTAAACTCTGCATTTTAGCCAAAATTCTAGAAAAACCAATAAACTCTCTAATCAAAAAGTATTTGGACTAATTTAACATCGTACCTCTCCATCAATCTACAAACCGGATTCCAAAAAAGTTGGGACACTAAACAAATTGTGAATAAAAACTGAATGCAATGATGTGGAGGTGCCAACATCTAATATTTTATTCAGAATAGAACACAAATCACAGATCAAAAGTTTAAACTGAGAGAATGTATCATTTTAAGGGAAAAATCTGTTGTTTCCAAATTTCATGGCGTCAACAAATCCCAAAAAAGTTGGGACAAGTCCATTTTTACCACTGTGTGGCATCCCCCCTTCTTCTTACAACACTCAACAGATGTCTGGGGACAGAGGAGACCAGTTTCTCAAGTTTAGAAATAGGAATGCTCTCCCATTCATGTCTAATACAGGCCTCTAACTGTTCAATCATCCTGGGCCTTCTTTGTCGCACCTTCCTCTTCATGATGCGCCAAATCTTCTCTATAGGTGAAAGATCTGGACTGCAGGCTGGCCATTTCAGTACCCGGATCCTTCTCCTACGTAGCCATGATGTTGTGATTGCTGCAGAATGTGGTCTGGCATTATCGTGTTGAAAAATCCAGGGTCTTCCCTGAAAGAGATGACGTCTAGATGGGAGCATATGTTGTTCTAGAACCTGAACATAGTTCTCTGCATTAATGGTGCCTTTCCAGACATGCAAGCTGCCCATGCCACAAGTGCTCATGCAACCCCATACCATCAGTGATGCAGGCTTCTGAATGGAGCGTTGATAACAACTTGGGCTATCCTTGTCCTCTCTAGTCCGGATGACATGGTGTCCCAGTGTTCCATAAAGAACTTCAAATCGTGACTCATCTGACCACAGAACAGTCTTCCATTTTGCCACACTCCATTTTAAATGACCCCTGGCCCTGTGCAAACTTCTGAGCTTGTGGAGCTTGCTTAGAAATGGCTTCCTCTTTGCACTGTAGAGTTTCAGCTGGCAACGGCAGATGACACGGTGGATTGTGTTCACTGACAATGCTTTCTGGAAGTATTCCTGAGCCCATTCTGTTATTTCCTTGACAGTGGCATTCCTGTTTGAGGTGCAGTGACGTTTAAGGGCCCGGAGATCACGAGCATCCAGTAGAGTTTTACGGCCTTGACCCTTATGCACAGCGATTGTTCCAGATTCTCTGAATCTTTTGATGATGTTATGCACAGTTGATTATGACAACTTAAAGGTCTTTGCTATTTTACGCTGGGTAACAACATTCTGGTATTGTTGCACTATCTTTCTGTGCAACAATGGTGGAATTGGTGATACTCTTACCATCTTAGCTTCTGAGAGACACTGACACTCTGAGAAGCTCTTTTTATACCCAATCATGTTGTCAATTGACCTAATTAGTGTTAATTGGTCTTCCAGCTGTTTGTTATATGCCCAATTTCCTTTTTCCAGCCACTTATTGCTACTTGTCCCAATTTTGGGGGATTTGTTGACACTGTGAAATTTTGAATCAACATATTTTTCCTTTAAAATGTTACATTTACTCAGATTAAACTTTTGATCTGTCATCTATGTTATATTCTGAATAAAATATTGACATTTGCCATCTCCACATCATTGCATTCAGATTTTATTCACAATTTGTTTAGTGTCCCAACTTTTTTGGAATCCGGTTTGTAGTTTCAGGAAACAACACAGCACAACGACTGCTTCACTGAAGGTTTTTACATCATTGAAGCCCTGGATGCTAAAGATTATTTTGCTGCACTTTACTTAGACCTGTCTAAAGCATTTGACACTGTGGATCACAACATCTTGTGTCATAAGCTCCCAGAAATTGGTTTCTCAGATCACACCATTGGTTAACTATTTTTCAAATCGGAGGCAATGTGTCCAACATAATGGTACTTCCTCCAGTTATTTAACAGTGAACAATCGTGTACCACAAGGCTCAGCCTTAGGACCCACACTCTTTACAATCTATATAGGTAATGTAGGTCAGATCATTCCTGATGCATCCATACATTTCTATGCTGATGATACAATTGGTTATTGTGGAGCTAAAACAGTTGCTAAGGCTTTCCAGCTTTTGCAATCTGCTTTCGACATCATCCAGTCAGATTTGTTCCATCTCAAATTTGTCCTAAATGCCGACAAAACCAAAGGGATGCTTTTTTCAAACAGGAAGTCAGTCTCAGCAGTTCTTCCTTTGATTTTGTCCTAGAATGTTGTTCCTATTGAGTTTGTCGATTCCTACAAATATTTGAGTATCTTGGTCGATTCACAACTCTCTTTTAAGTGCCACGTGGAAAACTTAGTAAGGAAACGAAAAGTTAAATTGGGTTTCTCTTTCAGAAGCAGATCCTGTCTAACTCTGAATGTTAGGAAACGCCTTGTAACTGCGACTTTCCTTCCCTTCATTGACTACGGTGACATTATTTACATGAACGCTCCTACAAGCACTCTGCAGATGTTGGATGCTGCCCATAATGATGCGCTAAGATTCATAACTGGCTGTAACTACAGTACCCATTATTGCACCCTGTATTCACTGGTTAACTGGACATCATTAACTTCACGCAGACTCTCGCAATGGTACATTTTCATCGTTAAATCACTTCTTGGTCTGTTGCCTTCTTACATCTTCTACATGTCACTGTGTGAGTGCAGCTACAGCGTGCACTCTCAGGACATTATTACCTGCAGTGTTCCCTCAGTGCGGACTGAACTGGGCAAAAGGGCCTTCTCCTACTCTGCTCCTATTTCCTGGAATATCTTGCAAAAAGATCTGAAGCTCTCAATCTTGACCTCTCTAAGTGGCTTTAAACATATGTTAAGTTCCTGGGAAAAACCAATGCAGACACGTTCTAGTTTTTTGTTTCCTACATTGCCTTACAACCTAACTGTTTTTTTTTGGGGGGGGGGGTTACATTTTCTTTTAAATACCATTTTATTTTCACTTGTTATTCTCAATTTGGATGCATCCTTTATGATTATCTATTGTTGTCTTTATTGTCCACTGTTGTCATCACTCTTTGTTAAAACCAGGTCGCTCTTGCAAATGAGTCCCCGAGGCTCAATGTGATTAACCTGTATAAATAAAGTTTGAATGAATGAATGAAAAAGTCAAAGTCAGATGAAGTGACCTGGGTGGTAGGCAAGAGCAGGGGCCATGATCGGTACTGTTCCCTCTGCCTGTTGGAAAGGAGCCAGAGCAGGTGAGTGAGGTTAAGCGTAAGCAACAAGAAATAGTCGGGCTCACCTCCACACACAGCTTGGACCCAAAACCAAACTTTTGGAGTGGAGCTGGACTATCTCTTACTCTGGAGTAAGAAGAAGGAGAGACATTGGGTAGGTGTGGGATACTATAAAGCCCATGGCTGAACACCTGGATTTTTGTGTTTTATCCATTGATACAGAGAGTTGCCTTTTGTGGCTTTCAGTCTCAAGATGGAAGGTTGATTGTTACTCAAGTATGTGACTCAAACAACAGTTCTGGTTATCAAGTCCTCATGGATCGTGGCCTGGAATAGGTGTCTGTGTTGTTTTCTTTGAAACCTTCAGTCACCATATAGGCAATGACAAAATCATATTTGGGGACATTATTAGGAGGGATTAGATACTTTATTATTAATCTGAGCAGTGTTATGTTGCTGGATCTATGTGCTAAGCACTGGTTGCCCATAACAAACATCATGTTCAAGCATATGGTGGTCTACAAGTGTATTTGGTACTAGGCTACTTAGACAAAAGATCATTGATAGGTTTTGTAGACTTATTATTAGACATACAACCATCAAAAGAGGGGCAAAGTAGTCAACTGATCACCAGCTGGTCATGAGTTGAATCAGACGGCAGATGAGCCTGCCAGAGAGAACCAGAAAACCCAAGTGAGATGTATGTGTAAACTGGGAACTTTTGGCAGAGCCATTTTCCCATGACTTCTAAAACTTGTACCTCCAGGCCAGACTTTCACAAATCTGAGGAGATGCTGGGAACGTGAACTCCAGACGAGTCAAGCTCAAACCCTCTACTGTAGATGCAGCTTCCAAAAACTTTGACCAAAGACTGTTGGCCTCTGTTGAAAAAATAAATAGAGCACCCACTATAAATATCATCCATCAAAGGCAGAGGTGGCCTACAGAACTTGGCTGTCTCAAGGGTTTCGAAACCCTGTTGGTAGACACAGAGTCATTAGAGAGGCAGAAGCTCCTGTAGTTCTGAGAATAAACACAATCATGAAATGAATACAAAGAAGACCTGGAGAAGGAACTTAGGCTTCAAGAACGTTTTGGTAAACCATTATTGACTGAAAAAAAGGACCCATCCCAGGCAGTGTTAAGATTGGGTGGGACACTGTGAGCTTGAATTTGGAACATTGTTGAGGTGTGAAAGGAGCATTGTAAAAGCTTCTTAATCCAGCCACTAAATTTACCTTTGAGGAGGAAGAACCTTAAGACTCAGGGAAAGGTGACTCTTTATACTCATGGTTTACTGAAGCAGTGAAAAAGCTCCCCTGTGATGTCACACTAGGAGTCAAGTTGATTTGCCCTGAGATGTTGAAAGCTCTGGATGTTGTGGAGTTGTACCATCACAAGACCCGTGAATTGTCAGACTGAGGTGGTGTTCCTAATTTATAAAATGTGACCAAAAAGTAGTCTTGGACTAGGGATCACACTGCTCAGCCTCTTAGGAAAAGTTAACTCTATGCTGTTGGAAAGGGTGCTTTGACAAATTGACAAACCTTATAACCAGGTTTGAATCAATGTAACTTTTGTCATGTCATGAAACAATGAATCAGATACTGGCTAACAAAGTATGTCAGCGTCTCCATTGTCCCCCTACATTTCATTCTCACATGTCCAGGCTTTATAGTGCGTGCTCAAACAAGAAACAGCAACTACCACACTACTTTCATCTGATCTCCTATGAAATTCCCTCTGTATATTACATATCAACAACTGAATGAAAGTTCCTGCTATAAGAAGTAAAATAAATAGCTCCATTACTACTAATATTTTCATCAAATGTCAACCTTTATGGGGTGCCAGCTAATGTGGCCAGTTCAGTCCAGGCGTAATTCTTATCTCATGAGGCTCTCTTCATTAAAAAAAACTGTGAGACTAGTAACACGATTTAAATTCTACATCCTCATTACAATTTACTTTCCGAAACATCAGTCTATTCCTTCTACTTCCTAGCCATTTTTACTGCACACTTGATCAAACCATGCTGAAAGTTAGACAAGACTGTTAAAGCTCTGGATGTGACTGTGACTCCAAAAAGCTTGTGATTTTAACTTCATTCAATCCAGAGCAACTTTCTGGGATACTAAGCCGAACATATTTGCCCACCGAGACAGTACATTTAGAGTCTCCTTCATCCTAGCCAATGACCGTAAGATTCCCCAGATGAGACTTAGCCTTCAGATTTACACAACCTCCCATCCTCTCCTCTTTATCTTTGAATAAACCTGTAAACTTGCTTTGTTGTGGTGCGGTTCCTGCTAATGAACTTGGTCACAAGAACAGTGCCAAACACAGCCTAAATTTCTTCATAGTGATGTGATAAGGTCATAAAGAGGATGATTACCTCAAGTTTACTCACGATGGCTAATACATGTGCAGAAATGCATTGAAAAAGGCTGTACTTTCTTTTATTGGGGACTGCCTGAATACAGCCACCTATTATTTTCCACCTGAAAAGAGTCTTACTCTTCTTTCAACTTTAATGCAGCCCAAACTACAAAGTGTCCCCCAACAAATGTTATATCAAAACGACTGGCTTGGCGCCGTGATGTGTGGTATTACTTTCACTGCTGTTTCGAGTTATCATGGTGACATAAATTGCAAACAAAGATGGCATTTTTCTCATTGAAAAACACTGACAGAACCCTTAACAGCTTCTAACTGCCAGAGTGAGGTCACATGACCAAGAGTGAAGAGATCTCTGAACAAAACACTGATCTGAACAAACAACTGGAGCCATTTTGGTCCAAGAAGGCTGCCACAACTACCTCAGAAAATAAAAAATTGACTATAACTCAGTCATTTTTTGAGATACTGAGCTGAAATTTGGTATGATGATAATTGAGAGTGAGTTGTTATATATTCCTAATGCAAATTAAAAATCCAAGATGGCCACCTTAGCTAAAAAAGGAAAAAATAAGATAACTCGGCTATTTTAAAAGATATTGAGCTAAAATTTGGTGTGGCAGTACTTGACAACAATGCACAACACATTATGAAGTCCATCCATCCATTATCTTTTACCCGCTTCTTCCATTTTGAGTCACGGGGGTCGCCGGTGCTCATGTCCAGCAATCACTGTGCGAAGGGCAGGGTACACCCTGGACAGGTTGCAAGTCCACAATAGGGACACATAGAGACAAACGAGACATTCACTCTCTCACTCTCACCTAGGGACAATTTAGAGTTACCAATCAGTCTAACATGCATGTTTTTGGGCTGTGGGAGGAAACCGGAGTACCTGGAGAAAACCACGTATGCACGGAGAGAACATGCAGATTCCACCTAGAAGGGCCCCCGGACCGGGATTTGAACTGGCAACCTTCTCGCTGAGAGGCAGCAGCTCTACCAGTTGTGCCACCGTGCTGCCCCATTCTGAAGTCAAATCTAAAAATTCAAGATGGCCACCAAAGCTAAATTCAAATGAATATAACTCGGAGGTTTTTAGAGCTATGTGGCTGAAATTTGGTGTATTGGCAACTGAGAACAATTCCTAATTGACTGATTGCAAATAAAAAATTCAAGATGGCTACCATAGCTTAAAATAAAAGAAAATATTATAAGTCATTGATTTGTTGCCATATTGAGCTGAAATTTGGTATGGTGGTAGCTGACAGTGAACTCAAACACACAGTACTGTCAAATCAACATTGTAAAATGGCCACAATGTGGCAGTCCTCTTCAAAGTTTCTCCAGGAACTTTCGTGTTTACAATGCAATGTGGAATACTTGGAATCATTGGTTTAACTGAGTCATCTTTACATGTGTATAGTGAAGCTTAGATTGATGCTTTGTTATGGATGTCATAAAAAACATCAATTAAGATTAAAATGCAATAACTCACCCCAAGTTTCCGGCTACGCATGCGCACATAGCCCTGCTTGACAATGTCATTAAAGTTGGACGCCATCTTTGGAGGGTGGATAACCTGCTGCTCTGGAGGTCATCCAGTTGTTTTCCTCTCCCAGGTCTGTCTTTCTTCTGATTTAGCCTTTTTTCCAGTTTTTTTCCTTTGTTTCTTCTCTTTCATGGGAAATCCACTAATGTTATCACTCCATTGGTTATTCCTTTAATTTATTGTTATTTTGGCTCCAACTTGTCTTACATTTTTTATTTTTTCTTCATCCTTTTTTTGACACTTCAGGAATCTCTTATCTTCCTCCTTGGTAAAGAAACAGACAAAAAGAGACAAAAAGAGAAGGTAGAATTGGATATATGTATTTGCATTATTCATTGAAGAGTGAGAAGCACAACTGTATGGTTCATTATTCATGTTGGTGGCCTACACTCACTGCTGAGAGGACTGTGTGAGACGCCTGCTGTGATTATGCTGTAATGAATACTTTACTCTTTAAATTCACCAGCTTTTTAGTTTATTTGATTTTTATTTTTTGCTTGCTTGCCACGAAATATATGCATATGTACTGTATGTAGTCCAAAGTCAGTCTTGAGTCCTGTCACTCACTTTCTGCTTCGTTCTTTAAACATTTAAGATAAGTGTTAATAGTCTATCTGGACTGTGACCCTGGGTTTTTGATCTGCTCAGAGACGGATTGTAATAAAATTATGACCCGGTTCTGATCGGTTTAAACAGGGCCAGCAACTCTTTAAAAAAGAAAAGTCCCCCAGAGATTAAATATCCGTCAAGGAATAGATTTTTTTATTTATGTCATTTCTTTACAAGCAGAAAGGCTTTTTCTACACCATATCATTTTTCCTGACACGTCAGACCATATAAGATCCAATGAGAGCACACTTAGTCCACCCCTCCTACCCATCTTATAGGCTGTTCTCTCTGATGAAGGCGGAGCCTAGGCCCAATATAGTTGTAAGGCAAATGTGTCATCCGCCCCTTCCGGTCCTTGATCTCTCGTATTAGCTAGGCCAGCGCTGTAGACTGTAACCTTTTCCTGCCTTGATTTAATACAGTTGGTAAACTGAATTCACGTTTCCTTGATTTATGGAGATAGTGTGAGTTACTACTTCTGAGGGGGGTCCGAGCCGGGAGCCTCCTGAGCTGGAGGGGGGCCTGGGGTCCGAGATGAGACCTGAGGCCCATCAGCTCGCAACATAAGCCATAGACAACATTTCTTGTTTCCTTGAACAATGTTTTTCAGGCGTATTTTCTTATTCCCTCATTCTAAATCTAGTCTTCCCTGTGACCCTTCTCAGATTAAGATCTTTGTGTTTGGACCTATGAATCATTCAGGCAGAAAAAGTAACACATAACAGTTGTAGTGAACCAGATGACCTCAAATCTACCAGATGGACAGAGACTGTTATTTTCATTGATCTGAATAAGTCTGAACCATCTGATGAACTTTCTTTCTTGAATTAATCAAGCAGAAAAGACAATCCTCTATAATCATTACTGTCTTACAAATGTTTTGATAATCAAATTGTGTTAGTTCACTCAATGCTTTACAGGTTGAAAAGAACTACTAATTTTTATTTTACATAAACAGTAAGTAATGATTTTTGTTCCTCATTCAGAGAAGAAATCACCTGAATATGCCTTTCTTGATTTTCTGTCTGAAATGAGCAAGCTGTCGTAAGTATGTTAAAGGTTGGTTTTCGGTCAACTAAAATGTTTACCGAGAAAAATGTCATGTTTTACTATTTGAAAAGATTACAAAGTGTGAGACTCCACGAAGTCTGCTGTTGCTGCAATAATCTTTTCTGTATGTTGTAAACAATCCTTGACTTATGATAACATCTTACATCACAAATCCACTCCTCTTTCTGGTCCTTCCACGAATCAGAAAGCTCTAAATTGAACAGGAAGTCGACCCAAATAAAATGTGGCAACTTCTCAGTTCATAGAATAGAGAATAGAGAATTATGAATTCCAGAATTCCAAGAGAATGAGAGCTGACAACAGATTGAGAGTTCTGGAGAATCTGAGAGATGTTGGATTGAGAGCTGACAACAGGTCCGATAGTCCAACAGAATGAGCAGATTGAGAGTGCAGCCGGTTCTGAAAGTTTCAGAGCAATGAAGAATCCAGAGGTTTTGGGATTATAATTCTGTTTTGAACTAACCACGCACGACTCTTCGAGGATTTTAGCTGTTTTCAACGGAGACGCTGATATCAGTTGAAAAGGATTCCTACTGAGCTGATCTATCATCAACCAGGTAACGGCCTCTTCTTCGACTAAAGTGTACCGTGGACAGGCTGGAGATCTGACGGAGCGTGCAACTTCTGGTCAAACAGATTAAATTCCCTCACACATTTCCTCTGTAAGATAAATCTCAATTTAATCTTAAACTCTTCTCTCTCATAAATCAGTACAGATATTTTTAGAAATGTCTGAAGCAAAGTCCTCAAATCACCGCCGAGTGATTTGAAGTTCATTTTCTGTGAAACTGTCTGTTATTATTTTCATATTTTGCCAAATTAATGTAAATGTTTGATGTTAAACTTTGATTCTGAAAATAAATGATTCCATTCATTTGATGGGTCAAAGATAAATAACGTCTCTCGTTACATTTCTGTTAAATTCAATGCACGACATTTACAGTCAGAAAAATGAAGAACTCGTGAATATCGTATGCATATATAATTCATATATTTGTCATACAACAAGTGACACGTACCTCACGTGTCTCACTACAACTGGTGGCCTCGTACGAATTTCATGAATGACTGTTAAATCCGTGTGTAAATTGATTTTACGTGTTGGCATGGTGAAAGAGTAACAGCTGATGAGCTGTAAAGTTTACGCAGCGGCTGAGCTGCGCGCTTGGAGCTGCACTCTGCAACTAAACGCTGCATGTTTAAGCGTTGGGCTGGCAATGTTTTAAAAGCTGAAATTGTGTCATAAGTCTTGTGTAAGCTGAAATGGTACGTCTGTTATGTGTAACTAAGAGCTAATGAGCTGTGGAAGACGTTATTCTGTCTAAAAAGTACGAGGTTCTGCTTTAAGACCCGGCTGTGACCAGTTCGGTTCTGTTCAGTTTGAACGAGTATTTTGAACAGATGGATAAACGTTTTAAAAGCTGAGTGCCATCTCAGAACACAGTTAGAAGTTGTTTCGTTACAATTTTTAGCAGAAAAAGTGCATTTTGATGGTTTAAAAGACAAAAAAGTGACGAACTATTTTACGCTAATCTAACTTGCTAGTTGGAGAATACGCTTCGTGATTGGTTGAATTCGCTGTTGTGGAGCGCTTTCATTGGTTGAAGGTTTGACTGACGTGGCTACGTCACTTCCTCTCACCCTACGCTGCTGCCATTGGTGATTTCAGTCACGTGACCCGGATATGAAATTCATTTTCATAGGGAAATAAAATCTGCTTTTTAAAGCTGAAAAGTAACTTTAATGTGGTTTTGACACGCTGGTCAAGTGCTTCGAAGCCTGCTTGCTGAAATCTTGCTACGTTAGAGTTTAAAATTCGCCAAAAAACGATGTTTTTAAACAAAGCTAGCGATGCTAATTTTAAGCTAACAAGCTAACGACCGGAGCTTAAAACTACGCGTAAAATCACTAAATGAAGCTACTATCAGTCCCAAACACTCATGTTCAAGCTATAAAGTCTGATTGCAAAAACTTTTGCCACGTTTGTGTAAAAAATCCGTTCAGAAATGTTGATTTTGACCGAGTTTAGCCGAAGCTAACTTCAAGCTAAGCGGCTAACAACAGGATGTCAACCGAACGCCACAGGAAGTTATAGCACCCCTAGTGGACAACACAAAAAGTGACGGAGTTATAATTGTTGAGGAAATACTGACATCTCCTGGCGAGACGTGAGATCACAGGTTTCACTTCGTTTTTAGGTAAAGAGTGAAATTAAACGTCTTTTTATTTTTCTGTAAGGCAAATTCTGAGTTAACAAACTTCCTCAAAGCTGAATAAAACACTGTTATCTTACATTTTAAAAAGTAATAGGTATTTATGCAAAGAAGCATTCACCAAAAAGTTTATTTCACTGTTAATCCTTTAAAAATAAGGTACAAAAATAAACATTAACTTTTTAAAACAGATACAGTTACAAATATTCACAGAGTTGAACAGTTTACTCATTTTGCTTGAAGGATAATACACGTTTAATTGCAAAATCACTAAATAAGAGTAAATTTATCAGGAAAAAGAGATTTTCTGTTTAATTTACCACCTAAATAAAATATCTCTCTATTTAATTTTAAATAGAAGCTATACAGGAGCAAAGACAGTTTTTCTGAAGAAAGACTGAGTATTCCTCATCATCAAATTCTTTTCTCTTTTCACCCACCTGGGTTGATGAGTAACTGTTTAAAATAGCAAATTTCTGGAACAGAACGGTTTAAAAAATGTTTTAAACTAATATTGCTGTGAGACTAAAAGAAAATTTGCAGGTTTATAAAAAATTCAGTGCGTTAGAGTAAATACACTAAAAACAGCTTGGTACTCTAGTATCTGGGGAAAATAAGCACAAAAAGTAACACTGCTGAAAGAGCATTTACTTAAATATTCATGAATTGGGGTAAAACCTGAGAAAGGTACCCACATTTGAATAAAGTTGACTTATAACAGTACTTCTGTGTAAACCCAAAGCTAAAATAAGTGTGAAAACTCATTGACTTGAATACAAATATTTACCTGTAAAATATCTAAAGCTTGCAACTGTTCAAACAGATAAATTGCTACACAGTGAAAACATGGCAGGTGTGTTAGAAAAAGATTTTGACACAAAAGGAATTGCGGACTACTTGGAGAATGCGCTCGCGCTTCTCGGAGAGTCCTTACATCCATTTATGACTCAGACAGAGCGCATGAACCCAAAAGAGTTAGTGCACAATCTGAAGGAGGTTGCAGAAAGTGTGACCTCTGCAGAAATCACAAAGTCCAGTTATGAAAAGCTGGCTAAAATTGCAATCTTGCTGAAAGAATCATTCTATAAGGCCGTTGATAAAACTGTTATAATCAAACAAAGGTTAGACAGTGAAATAGATTTGGCTCAAAAGACGGAAGAATACGTCCGTCAATTTAGAAATGAACACGAGGTCCTCATGACGAAACATTATGAACAGATGTTTCAGTTACAGCAAGATACAAGTACAGAAATTGCTTTGCTGAACAGCAAACTACAAGTACTTGAAGCATCACTATCGGAAGCAGAGGATAGAGAACAAGCGTACCAAGCCTCGCGTTCAGATAACGACGTGCTGAAAGCACAGTTACAG